TTAGAGACTTTTTTTTTTTCTAAATCTGTCCTTCACTGAGCATCTGTAGCCTTTTCTGTCTGCATGAGCAAAATTTAAACTGCTGTGTAACTTAGATCATGGAGTGGTCCATGATGGTGGCTGGTTCCTCCTCCTCGGTTCCCTGAGAGTCTAGTCTCATGACAGAGGTATGTTTACCGCCAGCTCTGGGAGCCATGTTTACTGCCTCAACTCTGGGAAGTTTGGGGTCTGCGTGGCTGGTATCATACCACCCATTGCTCATAAATCCCATTTAAATGTTTGGTAGCAGGGCCTCTGAAAAGAGCCTCCCTCGGTTTTTGCTGCTAGCCCTGAGCCAGGAAGCTTCTCTTAAAGGAACCACACCTCTGGTCACCGCCAGCAAACAGAGTCCATTGGAGAAAAGGCAGTTACCAAGAAGCTGTGTTTGACTCCGTTTTTGTGTGTTTAGAATTCTTTCCCAAGCTCTCTCAGGTTTTATGTGGATGTAGTTGTGCCACGTTGGAACACCATTTGTGGACTGAAGTTTCTGTCCCATTCATCAGCTCCTGAATAACTGACAGGGAAACTTAATGTTACTTATAAATGCTCTGCCAATAGCTCAGGCTTGCTACTAACTGGCATCTACACTTTAAGTTAACCCATAGGCCTTACTTATGCTCTGCCATGCGGTGGTACCTTTATTAGCATGGCACATTCATGTCCCGCTCCCTATACGTCTGGCTGGCAACTCCAGACCCAGCCCCTTTTCATCCCTGCATTCTCCTAGTCTGGCTCTCCTACCTAACCTTATCCTGTTCAGCTATTGGCCAGTCAGCTTCTTTATTAAACCAATCACAGTGGCATATATTCACACAGTGTAAAGGAATACTCCACAGCAGGGGCTTCCTGGCCCCACTGTCCCCAGTTCATTGTCAGGGCAGGACCAGGTGGAAGCTGACCCTATCTCTGGAAGAATGGGGCCTCCCAGCCAGTCCCCATGTCATCACTGAAGCCTGTGCCTCAGGAGCTATGATTTCTTCCCTCTTAGCCACTGTGTGGACTCACCCTGGCATTGCTGCCAAGGTGGGAGACAACTCCACCCCAGAAGGGGCAGAGCGGATTGGGGAGACACGGGCTCGTTGGAACTTGCCTGTTGACGGTGCAGAGAATTGTTCTGTGGGTATCTGCATCTTACTTAGGGTTCTGTTGCTGTGAAGAGACACCATGGCAAAAAGAAAGCACTCAACCGGGCCGGCTTACATTTCAGAGGTTTAGTCCATCATCATCCTGGTGGGAAGCATGGCGGCGTGCAGGCAGAGATAGTGTACTAGTGGAGAATTCTACATCCCAATCTGTAGGCAGCAGGAAGAGAGAGCCACTGGGCATGACTTCAGCATCTGAAACTTCAAAGCCCACCCCCAGTGACACGCTTCCTCCAACAAGGCCACACCTCCTAATAGTGCCACTTCTGTGAGCCTATGGAGGCCATTTTCCTTCAAACCACCACAGTCTATCTCAAGGATAGTGACTACCTCTCCCTACCTTGGTGACTGTGCTGTAAGTGAGAATTAGGGGCAACAGACTAGGGCAGTCTGGAAGTGGTGAGGCTTCCACAGGAGACCCAGAGGGCTCAAGGGCCATTTCCACTCTTTTTCCAAAACAAGATGTAGCTGCTGATGTCCAGTGTGTCCTCAAGCTCCTTTTGATGGAAGCGCACATTTCCAGGTCGGCTTGAGTGTCTGCAGTGGGCGGGGCAGATAGGTGGAAGGAGGAAAATGGCCTGTCCTCTGGCTTGGCCCCTGTGTGTGCCTGGTGATCCATGAGGAATCCTTACTGGCCTGACCCTCTTGGAGTATGTCATGGAATGAGACTGTCCCACAAGACCTATAGATCTGTCTCCTCAAGCTGAGCCATGAAAACCTGTCAGTGGCTATCAGGCAAAGCCCAGAGGTACAGCTGCAAGCCTCCACGCTGCCTCTATAGCAGCCTGAGAGATGTCCACTCAGGTAATGTAGTAAAGTGTGGTTGTGATTTTTTTTTGTAAATGGAAGTTTCATTGTATAACCCTGGCTGGCGTAGAACTCATAGAGATCTGCCTCCGCCTGTCTAGTGCTGGGACTAAAGTTGTGTACCATCATGTCTAGCTTGACTTCACAGAAAAAAATCTCAGGGTGAGTCAACATGAAGCAGAGTTAGAGTTTATTGAGAAGAGATTTTTTTTTTTTGTGTGTGTGTGTGTGATATATATTTTTTATTTTACAATACCATTCAGTTCTACATATCAGCCATGGGTTCCCCTATTCTCCCCCCTCCCACGCCCTCCCCTTACCCCCAGCCCACCCTCCATTCCCACCTCCTCCAGGACAAGTCCTCCCCCGAGGACTGTGATCAACTTGGTAGACTCAG